CTCAGAAATGCCATTTTCTGTGTCTGGGAGCGCTCTGACTGACCTGAACCAGCACCATTTCCAGCGTTACCATGGCGATGGCTGCCTGGGAAAGTCTTGCAATGGATGCACAGAACAGAGTCCAGCCAGGCTAAGGCTCCTGTGGCCAGTCTGGAGCTGGCACAGCTGCTCTTTGCACCCACAGCCCTTCCTCCTGCAGCCAAGGAACCCACCCTGAGCCCATGGTGTGTGGCAGGAGCTGAGGATGGAGGTAATTCCACATATCCATCTGTGCTCTGTGTGCCCAGCTCCCCTGGTCCAGCACCCCCAGTCCAGCTCAGCACGTGGCTGCAGGAGAGATTGCAGCAGGAACACCTCAGGGAGTAGAGGTGATTTATTTGGGTGATTAATTTGCATATGTAGATTTTATGAGCTGTTTTTTTTCCTTTCTTACGACTCCTTACCATAAAAATGAAGCTCCTGTGTCCCTCTCCACCTCTCCTCCTCTCTCCCCAGGCTCCATCAGACCCTGTGCCTGGCAGCAGGATGGTCTCACCTGGCTGTCCCCTGAGCCACGAGTCCTGCCCACGGCAGGACACAGCGCTCTGTGACCATCAGACCACCAGCTCTGCTGTGACACAGCTGGCCATTCCCTCTCCTGCCTCGTCCCCTCCAGGGCTGGGACAGCTGGACAGGATGAGCAGAGTGTCAGGAACCAGCAGGACTGGCAGAGCCAGCAGTCCCTCGTGGGCCTTCTGCTGGGCACAGCCCCAGGGATGCCCACACGGTGCTGGGTTGTTGCTGCTCCACCTTGCTGGGCTCTGGGTGATCCAGAGTGCAGCCAAGGGCTCCATCCTGCCATTCCTGCCCACAGCCACTCCTGGAGGCGATGGCTTGGCCCACGAGACAAATCCTTGGGAGAAGAGAGAGCACAGCCTGTGGCTGCAGGAGGTGGTTCAAGGCAGGATGGTGACTGTCCATACCCTGGAGGGAGCAGAGCTACTGGATCCCTCTGCCCTTGCCCAGACACAGCCCTTCCCCTCCAGCCAGCCCCTGGGAGCTGGTGTTCCTGGTCCTGACTCACCCCCTCCTCGAGCTGGTGGCTGCTTTGCAGGGAGGGACTGCATCACAGAATCTGCAGCACGGATCAGTGAGGCTGGGAGGACCTCTGGAGGTCTCAGCCCAGGCTCCTGCTCTGAGCAGAACTGGCTGCAAGGCTCCAGGGGGTCACTCAGCATCTCCCCCCGTCTTTCTGAAAACCTCCAAGGACAGAGGTGGCGCCACCTCTCCAGACCCTGTCCCAGCACTGCTCCACCCTCCTGGGGAAGCTTTTCCTTATGTCCAGCCATCATTTCCCACATCGCTCCCTATGGCCTTCTGCCCTTCCCTCTGCAACAAGCCTGGCTCCATCTTGGTCCCAAAAATCCAGAATGATTTGTCCCAAGTGTTACTCACTGGCAGAACCACCGGGATGTTTATCATTGCCTCTAAACACCCCAGAGCAAATCCAGAGCACACACCCCCAGCCCCAATAGCCTCAGCATCCCAGTCCAGCTGCCTGGTAGGAATCGAGCCCCACTGATCTGAAAACAAACACCACAGCAATGTTTGAAAGGATTTCTGGAATCGCTCAGGTGAGTTTCTAACTCTCATCTGTTCTTAATAAATGCCATAGGATGGGGGATGACTTTTGACCTGTGCTGACACCAGGTTTGGGATGATTCACAGCACTCCTAAAAGTCACATCCTTTTGCAATGGCAACTCCAAACCAAGAACCTCCAAGCCAGGAGGGAAAAGACAGGCTTACCTGTGAGACCAGCAGGAAAGGCAAGGGCATGGTGCTTTTGCTAATACTCCCCAAATATTCCTCTGTTTAAGTACAGAGAGGTTAGCTGAGAATTTACAAGGAAATCGGTGTTTAGTTCATGGATAAGGAAGTGAGTTTGTTGGCAAACACAGCCTTAACTTCAAGTTGGTTTTTGGATCCACGACTTGCTGGGAATCACGAGTGAACAGACAAAACTCAAATGCTGGCTCAAGATCCCAGCCCTCAGAATTCAGAACTGTGCAGGCCATACTTGTGTCCTGCCACTGCTAAAACAGCAGGATCAGTCCAGCCATCCCACTCAAGGCCTGTCCAGTTTGGGTACTTTCCCCAGTTAACCTTTTTCTCTGCTTTATTACTTTGCAGTATTGGGTTTGGGGATGGTTCCACACCACGCCTGCTCCACAGCCAGACCAAATACCACATTCCAAGGGGCAGTTTCATGTTTGTGCCTTGCTGGGACTATTAAAGAGAATGGCACGTTTTTGTCACCCGAGGAATGAATTAAACAGGAATCCCTCAGTCCTGGATTGACCTTCTCCCTTCCCGGACACCAGCAACGTGCATCTCCCAGCCTGCCACTTGCCTTCCTTGCAGCCTCAGTGAGATCATTTTCCCTGTTCCCTGCCCCAAGCACTGCTATCCCAGCCTTGTCTTTAGCTGCCAAATCCAAGGTGACCCCGGGCAGGGCGCTCTGGCAGTTTGTTGGTGGCTGTCACGTCCTTGCCAGCTGCCTGCTCTCTGCTCCCAGCCCGGTGTTGGTATTTGCAGCACAGGTTTGCAGGGCCTGGGATCCTCAGGATCCTCCAGCATTCCCAGTGCCTGGCCTCAGGCCAGGAGCAGTAGGTTGGTGACCTTTGTGGAAGCCCGAGGCAGTGCTCAGGTCTGAGCTGTGCCCTTCCCCTGTCCTGGGGTGGAGTTGCAACCTCAAGCTGACAGCACCCAACCTGCACCCGTGGGTTTGTGGCATCTGTGCTTCCTGGGAGCATTTTGGAATGGAAAAGTACCAGCTCCTCTGACCTCCTCCTTGTCAGGGAAGTTCAGGAACCGACCATCTGCCAGACTGAGCCCAACTAGACAGGGAAACACCACCACCACCACCACCTTCCCCCAGGCAGATCCAAGCTCTCTGGCTGCCGTCAGTGCTGCAGATGAGCAGATGTAAAACCAGGCCCTGAGCTGTTCCTCCACCTCCTCAATTGAGCCTGGCTGGGGGTGTCATAGCCCAGACTACCCCAAGTGCTGCACAGGGGCTCCCCTCCCCACCTGAGACATTTGGTTCTGTGCCCAGCAGGGGGGCAGCCAGCTCTGTGTGCTCCAACTCGGCTTCCTCGGAGCCTGCAGCACCCCTGGCACGCAGCTTCCAGTCTTCCTCAGGGCAGCAGAGCACTCCATGAAAATACATCCTTTGGGGGGAACCTCCTGGCCACATCCAGCATGGGTATAGGGGAAAGAGCAAGGGCAAGGTTTCTCAGCAAAGGCAGGATGAGTGAATGGAGGGCTCCAGCTCAGAAGTCGGGATTCTCCACATCCCACTTCCCACAGAGGAGCTCCCGCTGCACTCTTGCAGTGCCTCTGGCAGCACCCCTTGCACCCAGAGCGACAGGAGCTCCCCACAGGTCTGGCCAAAAGCTCCTCCTACTCCTCATCACCCCCAGACCTTCCCTGATGCTGCAGGTGCACAGTGAGCAGCACCCAGAGCAGTCAGGTCCAAGGACAGGCAGGACACGCAGCCAGAGCTCCCAGTCCCAACCCTCCTACCCCTGGTGCAGAGCCCCCCCCAGCCATCCCAAACAGCCCCTCCACTGCTGGGGAGCTGAGAGGCACCCAGGACCCCCACAGGGCTAAGAGCAGGGTCCAGGCAGGCGCCAGCCGGGCTCGAGGGGCCGGCGCTGGGACGGCACGTTCCAGAGGAGCCATGGAGGGGGGGCAAGACAGAGCCACGGTCTGGAGCTTTGCTGGGAGCTGCATTAAAATGCATGAGCTGCGCTGGCCCTAATGATGAGCAGAGCTGTCAAACAAGGAGCTTGTCCCAGCTAATTATCTCTAACGAGGGCAGAGTGTCAGGGTCCCCGAGGAGCTGGGCAGCAGCTTCTCACTCAGCTCAGTTGCAGCGGAGAGAGGAGATAAGCAAATGTCATTGTGCTGGCCTAGCTGCACAATCATTAATTAGGCAAATGTGACCTTCTGTGCCAGTTTGCTCTTGAGAACCTGGACTCGCTGGAGCCGGGACACACAGGCTGGAAACGTCCCAGCTTTTGCCACCCAACCTGTCCTTCCCGTGCCCCTGCAGAGGCAGCACAGCTCCAGCCTGGCAGTCCTAACCAGCCAGCCCTACCAGTCAGGGGCTGTGCCACACTCCCTGGGGCTCAAATACCCCTTGTGAGGGCTCCAGCTCCTTCCCTGGCCCAAGGAGCAGCACTGAGGTCTGATCTTCATGAAAGAACTCAACCACATCCCTCACCCAACCCTCAGCACAGCCCTGCAGAGGCTCTGTGCTTACCCAGCAACTGCCTCTGCACCTCCTCTCCACCAGATCTTTCAGGCACTGGGACTCTCCACTCTCCCGTGGTCCTACTCCACTCCAGTGCAGAGGGGACCAGCCACACTCTGCTCTACAAGCCCAGTTTCTCTCTCCTCAGTCACTGTGGCTCCCAAATGGAGCAGTGCCCTGATGAGCCAGAGAGGGGGAACATGTCTCAGCCCAAGACACGGTGATGGAGAAGTCTCTTCTGAGTGCAAGCAATGATCCAGAGATACAGATCACAAAAGGTCCAGCCTGCGAGCTCTGTGCTTGTCCCTCCCCTCAGAGCGGAGGGGAGAGGGGGAAAGGCTGGTTTTGATCCACCCAGAAACCCACTGCAGGACCACGAAGCTTCCAAACAACACCAGGGACACACATTGCTGCTCACCAGCCTGTAATTATGGCAAGTGCTTTGCAGTCCCTTGTTGGCAGACAGCAGCTAAGGCTTCAACACCCGCTCCAACTACATTTGTACAAAAAAAAAAAAGATTTAAAAGTCACCAATTTCAAATAGAAACAGCGCAGTAACCCAGGGGTCAGTGTGGCCCAGCCTCACCTGCCGAGCCAGGGGTTTGGGGTCACACTTTTGGGGGCACAACCATCTCTGCTGCACAAGGCTGGGGACTGATCTGAGTGTCTCACAGCCCCTGCTATAACACACTAATGAGCAGTATCAGACAAGAGTTAGAAAAGTTAACTGATATTCTCAAAATATATTTCATTTTATATCATGATCAGGCTCTCAACAGCACCAACTGCTTCCACAGGCAAAAAAACCCACACTCAGTCAGTCTGACAGGAACGCTCTCAGAGGCCACAGCACAGAAACTCCTTCCTCAGCCCACAGGAGCAGGTCCTCACTGAATTTTGGCTGTCATGAGACTTCAATAACATGCTCCTGGGCACGCTCTTCACGTGGCCCCCTCCCCACCAGTGTGGTTCAGACAGCAGACCCACTGAACCCCACAGCACCATCCACAGCAGGGGTTCTGCTCCCAAAGTTTTTCTTCTACTGTTTCTGGGCTGCCTGCTCTTTCAGCTGGTTGACAAGCTCCTCAGCATACACCTTGAAGAGTGGGACAGGGTCCTGCAACAGAGCAGAGGGGACACCACTGAGAAGGAGTGAACCTGAGCAGCAGCAAGGGGTGCAGAGCAGTGGGGAGCCCAGGGAGTGCTGACAGGAAAGAAAAGGTAAAACCAGAGGAAGATGTGAACCAGCCACAGCTGCTGCTCAGCTCTCCAGCCCTCCCTCAGAGATGACAGGTACCTGTGTGGGACATTCAGCAGCTTCCCCAGTCCTGACAGCACATGAGAAACATTAGTAGCTCCCAGGGATCCCTTCCCTTCTAGAAAGCTTCCCTACCTCCCTCCCTCCCTCCCCTCATTGCCCACCATCAGAGCTGTCCTGAAGCACGTGGGTGAACACATGCCTGAAGAAGCTGGAGCCCCACAGGGTTTGTGGCTCAGGACTGCTCAGCTCAGCTGGATGTGCAGCCACCACACCTCAGTGCTGAGCACTGCCTCAGGAACTCACCTTTTTCTCCAGGAGCCTCTGTTTTTCTATGGCTTCTTCCAAGCTCAAGCCAACCCATTCAGCTTCCTCTTCTGGGATCACAAATTCCTGGGGTAAAAGGAGAAGCAAGTGGCACAATCTTTGCAGGTGACCAAGATACAAATCCTCTCTGTGCCCAGGAGATAAAGGCGATCCAGTAAGAACCTTACTATGGACAAATCTTATAACACTCTTCCCTCATTTCTGTCAACCAAAGCTCTCTTCTTTCCTTACCAGGGGTCCTGCTTTATCTGATCTGCAGTTGCAGCTCTCTTTTGGGTAGTTCTGGGGCCGTTTCTCAGCACAGCTCCATGGACTGTGCGTGCTGGTGATGTTTCCACACTGGCAGCCACCCCCAGCTCACAGACCTGAACACCCAGGGGCCCTCTGGGCTCCTCACTGCAGGGTCAGTACAAATCCTCGCTGCTTTGGCAGTGCCAGCTCCTACCCGTGCTTACTGCAGACCCTCCCTGACCTCAAATCACAGCAAACATGCTGCTTGTTGTGCTCCTAAAGGAGAACCTGGTGATGGTTGGATTTTCTCTGCCACAGGCCAGGCCCCCACCTTGTACTTGTCGTAGATGGCCTCTCTCTTGGCCGGGTCGTCGGGGTGCAGGCGGGGATCCCTCCGTGCCAGGCGCAGCAGCATCGTCCGCTTCAGGTCCATCCCCAGCTTCGAGCACATGTCAGCCTTGGGGGTCTGGGGGAGGAGAATTGGAGTCAAACTGCCCCCAGGGGCCAGCTGGCAGGGGGCACACCGGGCTGCCAGCACTCAGACAGCACCGGAGGGTTATCTGTGCACTCCAGAGGTGCTCAGGACATGCTGTGAGAGCGGGAAGATCCGCTGGGTTTGTTCCAGAGCCACTTTGGTCGTGGTCTTGGTTTTTGATATCAAGAGCTCCAGCCAAGAAGGTATTAAAGGCTGGGAGCCTGGGCCTGCACTAAAACATTAACAGCAGCAGCTGTTCAACCCAGATGAGACTGAGGGGAGACCACTCATCCCACTTCCCTGGGGAGCCTCTTCCATCACCCAACCACCCTCTGGGCGAAGAACCTTTCCCTGACATCCAACCCAACCTCAGGCCATTCCCATGACTGGGTTGAGGTGGAAATTGAAAGGGGTTTTGGTTAGTCCATCACTCCTCTGCAGCTTCCTCAGCAGGGGCAGTGGGGAGGGGCAGCTCTGATCTCTGCTCTGTGTGAGCAGGGACAGGACCCAGGGAATGGCTGGAGCTGTGCCAGGGCAGGATCCTGTTGGATCTCAGGGAAAGGTTCTTCCCCCAGAGGCTGGTTGGGCACTGAACAGGCTCCCCAGGGCAGTGGGCACAGCCCCAAGGCTGCCAGAGCTCCAGGAGGGTTTGGACAACGCTCTCAGGGACAGGGTGGGATTGTTGGAGTGTCTGTGCAGGACCAGAAGTTGGACTTGGATGATCCTTGTGGGTCCCTCCCAGCCCAGGACACTCTGACTCTGTTCCACCGCCCCCCAGCCCGCAAGGGCAGGTGGTCAGAGCCCCACCAGCCGCACCGGGAGCCCCCAAGCACCTTGAGGATGTAAAAGTCGAAGCCGAAGGCGGCGTCGATGAGGTCGAGGGTGCGCATGGTGACGGTGATGGTCAGCGTGGCGTCCAGGATCTCGCTGTAGAACTGCCGCTTGAACAGCTGCGGCTTCCACGTCTTGGGCAGCCTGGTGGAGAGCTGGGCACGGCCGGGCCGTCAGTGCCGGGGCCGCTCTGCCGGTCCCCCCCTCCCCGCGGGCCCGGTAACCCCGGCCCGGTGCTCCCCTACCTTGTCGTTCCTGGCGTAGCGGAACCCGCTCACCCAGCCCTCCCCGCCCCACAGCCCCTCGTCGGCGGCGGGCGGGAAGTACACGGGCACCGGCACGTCCTGCACGCGCTCGCGGGCCCCGGTGCGCGGGTTGCGCCGGTAGCGCTGGCCGTGCGGCCGCCAGTGCACCGGCGTGGGCGGCGTCTCGTCCTGCAGCGAGGCCAGGAAGTGCTGCGGCAGCCGCGCGCAGATGCCCTCCCGCAGCCGCATCGCCGGCCAGAGCCGCGGCGGGAACCGGTGCAGCGGCATCGCCCCCGGGACCGGCACCCACCGACCGCCGGGACACACCGCCGGCACTTCCGCTTCCGCCCTCCTGCCCACGGCGGCCGAGAGGGGCCGCGCCGCGCCCGCGTTTCGCCCGGTCCGTGCGAGGGCGTGGCGCCCCGGGGGAAGCGCAGAGGACGGGACGGACGAGAGATGGGATGGAACTAAAACACATGGGCTGCACCTCAGCACGCTCGTGGGAACGGCCTGGAGCTGTGTCAGGGGAGGTGGGGTGGGATATCGGGGGAAGGTTCTTCCCCCCGGAGGGTGCTCGGGCACTGAACAGGCTCCCCAGGGCAGCGGTCCGAGCTGGTGTCCCCTCAGTCTCCTCCGGGCTCAACAGGTGCTGCTGGGAATGGTTTAGTGCAGGTCTAAAGCTACCAAGAGGTCAAGAAGTTTTCGGACAAGGCTGCCAGGGACAGGGTGGGATTGTTGGGGTGTCCTGTGCTGAGCCAGGAGCTGGGTTTGATGATCCCTGTGGGTCCCTCCCAGCTCAGGATATGCAGTGATTCTGTGCAGAAGAACTTCACAGTGAAGGTGTCACAGCACTGGGACAGCTGCCCAGGGAGGGCGTGGAATGTCCCTCTAAAACCATCCCAAACCCACCTGGATGTGCTCCTGTGGCACCTACTCCAGGTGGCCCTGCCTGGACGGGGTGGTGGGACTGGATCATCTCCAGAGGTCCCTTCCAACCCTAATAATTCTGCAGAAGAACTTAGTCACATTCGGGAGCGACAGAGCACTGGGACAGGTGCCCAGGGAGGGTGTGGAATCTCCCTCTCCTGAGACATTCCAAACCCATCTGGACTTGTTCTTGTGTCACCTGCTCCAGGTTGAACTGGATGATCTCCAGAGGTCTCTTCCAACCCCAATAATTCCGTGATTCTGTGACTGCAGCCACCACTTGCCTGCCCGCAAATACCGTCACCTTTATTAAATTATAAAACCATAAGCTTTAAAATTTACCGTATAAAATAATCACAGGTATTAACAGCAAAGAAAAAAAATAACCTCTTTTTTGTTTGTTTTTTTCCCCAGACACAGGAATTTGCTCAGATTTTACCCAGAATAATTAACAACCCCCCCTTCTCCTGCAGGTACCAACCCAAGCTCGGGCCAGGCCAGCAGTGGGGGGGGTGGTACAAAGCAGAACGAATGATCAAACACAAAATAAACAATCATGTCAGTGGGATTTCTCACCACAAAGCTTCTCCTGCTTTCCAGCACAGAAATCCCTGAAGGGAAAGGCCCAATGAGGAATTATTGCTTTCTATGGTAGCCGGTGACACTTGGCCACACACCAGTGGCATCAGGTCACCCTGGCAGCACACACCCACACTGGTGGCACCTGGGTCACACTGGTGGCACCCAGGTCACGCTGGTGGCACCCAGATCACAGTGGTAGCTGCTGGGTCACACTGGCAGCACACTGCCACAGTGGTGGCATCTCAGTCACACCAACAGCACCCACGTCACACCAGTGGCACCCAGGTCACACTGGCAGCCCACCCAGGTCACACTGGTGGCCCCCAGGTCACACTGGTGGCCCCCAGGCCACCCTGGCAGCCTGGCACGGACGGCACGGCTGTGAAGGAGCGGCGGTCGCCTCCACAGTGCTGGGGCCACAGCACCGCAGTGCAAACCAAGACAGTGGGGAAAAAAGTGCCTAAAAGTGGTCAAAGTTGGAGGAAGCCCTGAGGGTCCCACATCCCCACTCCTCCCCTGCTGTCCTGGATGGCAGCAGCAAATGAAAGACAAGGGACAGGAGTGGTGATGGGGGGGTGACAATGCTGGGTGCAGACAAGTGTCCTCTGCTTGTCCTGCATCTGCATAAAAAGTGGGAGTATGCAGAGGAAGGGGAGGCAGAGGGATAAAGTGCAGAGCTGAGCTGGGCACTCTTCAAAGCAAAGAAATAACCCCGAGGAGGCAAATCCTTCATTAGCAGCTCTTTCCTCCCCAAAGCCACCTGAGGGGCTCCCAGCAGCACACACCAGAACAACCACAGCTGGCACGAAACCAGCAAGGAACGATGGATTTGAGCCCTTTTCTGTAGAATAAGGATGGGCAAAGACAACTTCCCTGGTCGCCAAGCTTCTGCCCTTGCTTTCTGCGTGCCCTGAAGTAAGGCTAAGGTGAGACAGACGCTGCAAAAAAAGCCACCTGGGGAGACCATGGTGGTGCTCCTGGCTGGGGTGGGACACTGCTGTGGCCTCGGATCAGCCAGGACTCTGCAGCACATCCAGCCTCTGAGGCACAGCAGGCTGGAGAAGCAGGGCTGTACAGCTCAGGCACCATCCTGGACTACCCAGGCAGAGCTCTGCCCATGCTAAACCCCCCCAAAAAGGAGGAAAACAGTGAATCTGTGCACAACCAGCAGCCTGGCTCCTTACAGAGCTCAAGTTAAACTTAGAGTAAACCCAGCTCTGGCTGAGGTGCTGCTGCTGCCTCTTGCGTGTCCCCACGTGGGTTTTTTCACATTCCTGCCAAGTCTGATCCTGAATCCAGGGCCCAAGTCCTAGCCTCATTCTTCCCCGCCAGAATCAGGACCAGGTAAGAGCAGCAGCACCTGTTTCACAGGGGGAAAGGCTCCAGACCCCCGTGGAGACTGAGGCCAAGGGCCCAGCGCTCGCAGAGATCAGCTCCCTCCCTCCCCAGCAGCACCAAGGGCACGCAGCAGCATTTGCCCCCCAGATCAGAAGAACTTCTCTGGGGTTCAAGTGCTGACTGCAGGATGGCAGGGGAAGCCCCTGTCCCACAGGCCTCTGCCAGGACAGGGGTCACAGAGAAGAGCCCAGCAGCCAAAGCCTTGGCTCCAGCTCAGCATGGGCAAAGCCCAAGCCTCATGGATGCAGCAGGGGGGAAAAAGGGTTGGCAATTTCCCCCAGGGCCATGGGGAGGTGGGGGACAGGCTATTCCTTGATCTGGAACCACGAAGAGCCTGCCCCACCCCAGCAGAAAAGCAGAGGTGGCCTCAAACTTGCCCTCCACAAGACCAGCCCACCATCTTCACCTTTAAACCCGGTCCACACTGGGCCCTCCTGGCCAGGGGATGAGCAGTAAGAGGATTGACCATGTGCGAGGGGCAGCCCAGGCAAAGAGCAGCTTCCCCAGCCCTCCACCCACACAAGAGGGAGCTGGGCAGGTCAGGTCACAGCATAGAGCTCCTCACGGTCGTTCTGGCAGATCTGGTAGCGACAAGTGAGCTTCTTGGACCAAGCCCAGGGCTTCTTATGCTTGTCCCGAGGAGGGAGCAGGAAAGCGACGCTGCAGGCCACCAGGACGTGCCAGATGCTGTGGGTGTAGTAGTAGTTCTCATTGGTTTCCATGAATGCATACACTGAGATGGCAATGAAAGCCAAGGTGATCCCTGGGAGGAGGTAGAAGACCCAGCGCTTCCACGAGGAGGGGTAGCAGTGCCTGCGTTTGGTTCCGTGGTGAACCTGGGAGGGGTCAGAGCAACACGGGTTGAGCAGCCAAGCAGAAGCTCAGGCAGGGGCTGCCCGACCCTGGAGCATCTGCCAGCCTCCCAGCGACAGGGTGTGCCTGCTGCCCCTCAGAAATGCGGCCTCCCCCCCTTCCTGGGCCCTTCTCTTGTGGGCAAAAGGCCCCAAAGCCCAGCACAGATGCCACAGGTCCTGGCCAGGGTAACAGCCAAAGGCTTTGGGACAGCCCTGCAGCTCCGGGTGTGCACACACTGGACTGTGTTGAGACCCAGAACCAAGGGATTTCTGGGGTTTCTCAGCTAGTGGAGGGCTGGAAGGTGAAGCCCTTGCCCTGCCCCTTCCACCTGGGTGTTTCAAGGTGACCAAGCCATGCCTGTGGATGGGCTGGAGCCTTAGGGCTGCTCTGCCACCATCATTCTCTGCAGGGGAGCAAAGGGCAGCAGATCCTGCCTGTCTGCCTTCACTTACCCACGCTGCAATCATGATGACGAGGGCGAAGAGACAGGGACCCATCATGTTCCACACCCCTCTGCGGTCCAGCTGCAGGGACATGGCAATTAACAAGGTCCCCAAGATGAAAAGGACCTGGAAAAGAGACACCACCACTACCACCAGCAGCTCATCTGCTGCCAGAGCACAGCCAGCCATGCCATAGGCAGGGAGGACCTCTTCTCCTGGCCACCCAGCCCTGCATGCATGCAAGAGAAACCAGAGTACCCACAAACCTTTCCCCCAAACCTCAGTCCCTTCAGGCCCAGTCCCTCCAAGCATGCAGGTTCACGAGCCAAACTCCTGGGACAAAACAACCCACTGGTTTGAAAAATCAGGGTGGCACTGGGTGACAAACAGGCTTTGTCAGCGGGCTGGTCATTAAATACAGAGGTGGGAGGGCTCAGCGTGGCCACCTGTGGCTTGGCTGGCTCAGGGCTGGCCGGGCCACGCGGGGTCACCTGACACTCACGTATTTCAGGATCTTCTTCACCCGGGCCATGCACAGGATGGTGACCCAGATGGACACCACGGAGCCCAGGAAGTCACAGTACTGCAGCGTGTCGTAGTCCATGATGCACAGCACCGCAACGCCCGGCTGGTCACACGCGTGGTAGAACTGCAGCCAGGGACAAAAAGCAAAGGTCAGGTGGATCCAACAGCACCACACGGCGCTCTGGGAAGGAGAGGCAGGAGAAGGCTCAGCCCACGGCAGGCAGTGCCTCCAGGAAGCTCCACTGTGGCATTACAGAAAGCAAGTGAGAGCAAACATCAACCTGCACCCTCCCAGCAGCAGCCAGGAGCTCCTGGGACAGCGCCTTCCAGTGCAAAATGCTCCAACCCCATCTCCATCCCTGGGGTCCCAGCCCCAAATATGATCACCCTCAGTATGGGCTGAAGATCCCAGGGAAAAGAACACCCTTTCCAGCTCTGAAACATGTTGTTGGAACGAGCCCAGAGAAGGCCACGAAGTTGGTAAGTGGAGTGGAGCAGCTCCCCAGTGAAGACAGGCTGAGAACATTGGGGCTGTTCAGCCTGGAGAGCAGAAAGTTGTGTGGAGACTCCACAGCAACCTTCCAGTACCTGAAGGGGGCTGTATGGAAGCTGGAGAGGGACTCTGCACCAGGAACTGTAGTGACAGGACCAGGAGCAATGGGTACAAATTGAAAGAGGGGAAATTTAGGTTTGATATTAGGAAGAAATTTCTTACTGTGAGTGTGGTTAGACACTGGAACAGCTTGCTCAGGGATGTTCTGGATGCCCCAACCCTGGCAGTGTTCAAAGCCAGGTAGCATAAGGCCTTGAGGAGCCTGGTCTAGTGGGAGGTGTCCCTGCTAATGGCACTGGGTGGTTGGGACTGGATGATCTTTAGGGTCCATTTCAACCCCATAACATGATTCCATGACACGTCCATGAAGGTGCTTGCCTAATGATCCCAGAAGCTCCCTGTGGAGCTCCAGGATGGGCTGCTCTGCCAAGGACTTCTGTCTGGTGCAGCATTCCCGATGCTCAGGGGGAGCTGGCAGGGGGACCCCACACAAGGCAGTCCCTACCGTGGAGAAGAACATGGTGTAGGTGTAGACAGAGGCCTCCACGAGGTAGTAGCGATAGACAGCGACTGCTATGGCTGGCAGGAACATGAGGTTGCTCAGGGTGAGCAGGAGGGCGGCCAAGTTCTGTGCCCCGATGGACTGGGCCTTGGTGTCGTCCGTGCAGCTCCACCCGCCCCAACCTGCGGAGCAGAGAGGCTTCTGTGGGTCCCACAGGCCCTGCCTTGTCATCCCACAGCCCTCAGCAGGAGCCTGGGATGCCTCAGGAGATGCAATCACACCCTTGGACGGCCCCAGAGCCTCCTCTCCCTCGCTCCATCGGCCACTCACGCTCCTCAGGATGGTCTCGTTACTCATCACGTGCTCTGCTGTGGGAAGCTGGGGAACCCCAGCAGAGCTCCAAGCCTGCTCTGAGGACATCCCCCAGGTTGTTCCCCTGTAGCAGAGGCCATCCTACATCCAGACTGGTACTTTCCATCCCCACAGCAACTCAACACACACGCTCCTTGCTGCTGAAACAGCATTCAAGGCTCAGGTGCTTCACGTGGTGGTATGAGCTGGATGCAAGATCCCTGCAGGTCCCAGGAACCAGGGTGGAGAATGATCCCCAGTGCTGAGGAAGCCATTGGGCTTCTCTCCTACCACCTGTAACAGCAGGGCAGACCTCAAACCCAGGTCAGGCTGCTCTGGACCTTGTACAATTGACCTCTTAAGATCTCCAAGGATGGGGACCTGGATACTGTGCCAAGACAAACAGCTCTGAGGGGGAAAAGGTTGGTCTTCTCTAATTAGGTGGCAGTCTCCTATGTCTGTGGCCTCCTGCCCTTTCCTTTGCTCCCCCTCTGCAGAGCCAGTTCCAGGGTTCCTGTAACCCCACGGGCAGCAGAAAGTGCAATTTGATCCCACTCCAACTCCTCCCAGGTGAACAAACCCACTGCCTCAGCCCATGGTGACACCCAGGGCTGCACAGGATGGTGGGAGTGAAAATTTCCTAGAGGACAGTGCCTGGCACAGGGCACGATTCTCAGCCTCTGACTGGATACCAAGGACTGAACTGAGACAGTCTCTATAAACACAAATCTGCATTTTTTAATTATTTAAATGATTTTAATTAAAGATTAAGATGCCCATGGCCTCCTTTTGAGGAAAGGAGGTCAGCCTCGGGGCAGATGAGGGATGTGCAGGCACTCCATGGTCAAGGAGCTTAGTTAAAAGTACCATTCATCCCATTCCAGAGTCACTAGAGCAGCTCTGCCCCTCCCTGCCAGGCAGGGCCCGGGGAAGCTGCTCTCCCTGGTTTATTTCTGGGTCACCAATATGCAGATGGGGCATTTTGCTGCGAGTGATTCAGCGGAAAGCTGTCCTCAGCCTGATTCCCCAGTTCCCTTGAGGTGCTCTGTGCTTCCCAGAACCTGGCAGCCCTGGGGGAAATTAGGATGCTGCTCTCCCTCTCGCTCCTCACCCTCCATCAGCACTGCAGCAGGGAGGTCCTGGCTCAGGCCCAGAGCAGCAGGGAACCACAGTTTGCCTTGTCCTTCTGCTGAGAACAGGTATCCAGAGCCACCCAAGCACAGCAGAGCTCATCTTCCCCACAGCACAGACTGCACCATCCTCTCAGGCCATTAAGATAATTAGCAGCTGACACAGATGTTCCTCCTCCAGGGGCACCTCCGAGTCTGAGGCTTTTGGCAGGAGACAAGACAGGGACTTATTGTGTCCCTACCAGGAAACTACACAGCAAACCTCCCTGAAAGGCACAGGCTCTGACACAGGCATTTTCAGGCTCCCTAATCTCTCTGGGGATGTTCAGAAGCAGCTCTCCAAGCCCCGGGGAGCCTCCAAGCCCCGTTCCCCATCACCCCTGGGGCGTCCTGTGCTTCCCCAAACTGCGCTTCCCCGGCAGCCACAACAGACCCCGGGCTCCCCATCCCAAACACCACCACCCTGCGACGTGTCCCCCCCTCGGGGAGGATGGCAGAGCTTCCCAGGGAGATGCACTCACCAGCCTTGCAGCTGCAGGCAGCGTAGAGGTACCCGTGTCTCCTCAGGAGGCTGCACTGCCCGTAGGGGCCGCAGTCGTTGAAGCAGGGGGTGAGGTACGCGAACACCGTCACTTTGGCTTCTGCACTTGGACATTCTCTGCAAGGACAGCAGGTCCCCTTGGCACCCCAGGCCTTTGGGCAGCCCTGAGCCCTGCTCCCAAGGGTCTAACCGTGCTCCTGCGTGCAAGCTCCCTGCTGTTTTGAGATCTGCTCCATCCCTCCTAAGACCTCAGAGCAGAGTCTGCTCCCTCTCCGCTTGGACTGCCAAACTGATGTCCAGGTGGGTGTCAGCTCTCCCCAGACCCCCTTGACAGACCAGTGTCACCACCACTCTTTTACATCATGCACTCATCCCAGCAGACAGGCAGAGAGGCAAACTGCAAGAGTACGGGCATAGCTGCCTGCATCTCTAACACCTCCCACAAAAGGGTAACAGCAGCAATTATTTCCCAATTTATCACCTCAAAATCCACCAGGGGAAGGGGAACCTCACCCAGGCAGACTCTGCCATCTGCAGTCTGCATGATATGGGCCAGCTTGACACTGGTCAGGATGTTTGGGTGCCCACTGCCTCCCACCTCCCAGAGGTGAGGATGGAGGGTCAGTTTTGCTCACACAAGCCAAGGCCAGTGGGATTTGCAGGCAGAGTGCTCTGAACAGGCCCCAGGGTGGGATGACACACCAGACTCACCCCTGGCCCTTTGGGCAGAGCAGCTGCAGGGACAGGAACCAGTCATCAGTCTGCGGGTACAGGACAATCAGCATCGCCTCTGCGGAGGCCGTGCTCACACTCAGAGGGTAGCCCTGGGAAAAAGCTGGAAGAAAACAGGGTGCTGTGATGGACCAGACTTGGGAAGAAGGGCCCATAACAATCCCAGGCTGAGACTGATCACACAGGAATCGGATGCTCCAGTGGCTCCTTGCTCCCATGCTCAGGAGGCACCAGGGGGATGGAGAGGACCCTTGTTTTTCCATTCATCTCCATTCTCAGTACCTGTCTGCACAGCACAGGGCACCTGGAGCAGCCTGTTGGCTTGGCTAGTCCTCCAGTGCAGAACTTAGCTTCTCTGCACACCAGCAATACCTTGACCATCCCCAAACCTCCTGCTAAGAAGGCTGAAAGAGCCCCAGCTGGTACCAGACCTTCCTATGGTGGAGGCTAACTCCTGGTGCCAGATCACCACCCGCACCCCAGCACCCTGGGAATGTGCCAGCACGAAGGCCTCAGGGGGGTTTGTGCCGAAATCAGCTGCCCTGAGACACCCACAAAGTCCTGAGTCAGCTGACAGCCTGTGAGGTCTAAAAGCAGAGCAGTGAGATGCCCAGCTGAGCTGGTGGCAGGTGCCAGCCTCTCCTACCTGTGCTGCAGTTCCGTGTGGCATTGAGGGACAGCACCGGGGAGGCAGCACTCACACATCCAACCACGGTGGCATTGGCCAGGCTCACAGATGTCTGTGCAAACAGAGCAGTGTCCCATGTCACAGCACCCCAATGCCATCCCCCTGCACCGTACATCTCCCTCAGGGCCCACAACAAAGGGCAACAGCAGGTGACAGTAAATCCTGCAGGTCACCCACCAGTTCAGCAGGTTTCTGACCAAACCCAAGTTTGCCTCACCCTGAGCTGCCACCGTGTTACGTGGTGGCTAAAAGGCAAGACACCCTCCCAGGGGAACTGCCCCAAAGCTGGGACACTCACACGTCACTTCAACACCAGCACAGGGTGGCACGAGCCAGAGGCTGCAGGACATCAGGGCCGAGCCTTGCTCCAGTTTCATAAAATTTCAGGTAGCTGATTTTGAGGGGGAGGGAGTGTGTCACTGAAGGAGCCTGGGATTCAGTGACTTAGGTGGGAACATCCCTGGGTTTCCCTGCTCAGCCTCCTCTCGTGGTGGCAAGGAGCCAGGCTCCCGTGGAGAAGATGGCACTGCAGCTGCTGCCCGTGTTGTCTCCTCTGTGTCGCTACCACCACACACCGCAGGCTGTGGCATTTGAACTGCAGCTGGCAGGTGGGACACGCTGGAAGCAGCTAAAGCAGGCTCAGAGTGTTGGCAAACCCACCCAGGAGCAGGGACAAAGCCCCGCTAAGGGGACACGACCCCATCGGTCAGCCCCCGCACCTTGTTGAGCAGCAGACTGACCACGAGGGAACCCCCGCTGTCCATGCCAGTGTTCAGGTTGAGCAGGAGCAGGGTCGGGGACAGGGAGTTCACGGGCACGCTGGGGCCGTTGAGGAGCCTGTAGCGCACGGACACAACGTCCAGGTCCTCTCGCACCACGGGCTGGTTCTGCAGGCAGGAGCTCCTCTGGCCAGATGTGTTGCGTGGAGCCTCTCCAGCAGCCTGGGCGGGGCTCCCTGCTGCCCCTGTGGTGCCTGGCCTGGCACCAGCCTGGCTCTGGTTTAGGCTGATGAAGTTAAGGAATGAACTGGCACTTCCTGGCCTGCAAACTGTAAAGCAGAAGAAGGAGAGGAATCAGCACATCAAGGACCAGCACCTCACCCAGGCAGACCCCAGCAGCTCCAGCCCTTCAAGTGACAGCACAGACTGGGGGGGGTTCATGCACTGCAGCACTGGCTGAAGCCCCTGAAAGGCACCACCCCTGCAGGGGGAGCATCCACAGGCTGGGACACTGCTGGAAGCCAGACAGCAGCACAGTGGGTGGAAGCACCCTGGAGCTGCAGGGACAGGGGAAGAGGAGAAGGGATAACACAGCATTATCAAGGTACCCAGGGACTACTGGACACTCAGCTGTCCCAGAGCCACAGGCTGCATAAAAGTCTCTCCCAGCTTCCCCAGACATGAGCAACAAGGCTGAGCAGAAGGGAGAAGCCAACCCAGTGAAGCTACAGGCACAAGCAATCACATTGTGGCAGATGGAGCTGAGTGTGACATTAAAGAGTGCCAGTGCTGGAGCCTGTCCATCGCTCCCAAAGACTCTTGTACTCCCCTCTAACACCTGTGCCAAGTCTTCCAGCGCACAGGATGAGGCTCTGCTTTGAAGAGGGGATGGCAGAGCCCCCAGCAGAAGAAAACCATAAAAATGTACTTAGCTGGTGAGCTTCCAGAAGTCAAACAGGGATTATGGTCAGGTAATAGGATGCAAAGGCACCACAAGGGACTTGTGACCCCCCTGAGTCACAAGGAGTCACCTGAAATGGCAACATCCCCTCACTACAACCCCAGACATTTTCCCAGGTAAACCTCTGTGAGATGGTTTCCTGCCCACAGCCTGCTTGTGGCCAATTGATAGTCAACACAGCATTAGTCTGGTACACCCACCCCAAACTATTCTCCACACCAAATCTTAAGGCAGCCACTGCTTCCCAAACGACCTTTGGGAAAGGGCATTGCTTCAGAGACCCTGAACTTTTCAGGCATTTCCAAAACAGGCAGCTCTAGCAAGTATCACTCTGGAGTGAACACTGGAGCCTCCCCTTCTGACCCCAAAGCAACAATTAGGCCTTGGGCCTCCAAGAGGAGGCAAACCAGCATGCTGGGGAATGCAGGCCACCACAGCCAGGCACCCAAAGGCTCAGAAGGGACACAGCAGACACAAAGCTCCCTCTGGTCCTTCCCACAGGGCTGGAGGAAGCAGGATCCCACCTGTGAAAGAAGCCAGCATCTCCACAGACACGCTGGCATTGGCAGTGCCGAGACTCTCCACCATGATCTGCAGCCACTTCTCCCAGGGGGGCGAATCCAGGGCCAGGCTGCAGTTTGCACTCCCTGTGCAGGTGAGGGTCTTCTGGAAGGACTGGGGCAGCGTGATGGAGCCCAGCACCACCCGCACAGCACACGCTTTCTGGTCGCTTGTCAGGCAGCTCCGCAGCTGGAACCGCATCCCCGCGGCATGTTTGGGGACAAAGACCCTGCGGGAGGAGGGACCAGCAGTTTGCAGAGCTTGTACTCGCAGCGTAAGCCAGCCACGACGCACCACAGTCCCCAGGGCTTTGTGGCAAGAACTAGACTGCCCTGGCTGGTGGTGTTGAAAATCTTTCCCAAGGGAAACATCTCAAAGAACTAAAATTGCCGCAGTTAAACCTCTACGACCACCTGGGAAGACTCGGAGAAAGGTGCTTGTGTGCTTCCCTGTGCAAACCCTGCCACTGCTGCAGGGAGCTCAGCAGGCAGGCTCAGAGAGCCCCCACAGCTCCAGCCCCACGTGGGAACAACAGTGGCTATTCCCCCTAAGCAGCTCCCGTGGGAAATCCCTCCCCGCCGTGCCCCTCTGCCCACCCGCCGCTCTCACTCACTTGACATGCAGTGGCTTAGCAGGCGAGACAACGGTGTGTGACGTGGGGACACCCGGCTCCAGGACGGGCATATCAGTGAGTCTGAGCACAAACATATCTGCCTGGAACATATAGGGGCATGGAGTGGAGAAACCCTGCGGGAGGGGAGAGCACAGGGGTCAGCTGTGGCTGTGAGGAGACACACCGGGCAGGGCTCCACGGGCGGGACCCTCACCTTCACCTCGATCCTGCCGGCAGCCTCGGGCAGGTGGGCAGCGATGAACCAGTCCCCTGCGGCGGGCGTGGTGACGTTCACAAAGGTGGTGTTCTGCACAGCGCTGCTCAGGGTGATGCTGATGCTGTAGGAAGGACGGACGGTGGCGTTGGCAGGGAAGCCAGTGCCCAGGGGGTTGATCACCGGAGGGGCTCCGTGGCGAAAGTGCCTGTGAGAGAAACCAGAGTGCCAGTGAACCCAGGGATGTACAGACGCTGGAGAGATAACAGGGGAGACAAACTCATCAGAGGACACCCAGGTTGGCCTGGGATCGGACAGGGAGCAGGCTGGAAACCCCCACATTTCCAAGTAGGGCACAAGAGCCCTCATTTTCATCTGGTGAGGGCTGGCTGCTATTAACTTATCCAGGATTTATTTAGAGATTGCTTTAACTTCGCTGATTATTAAGATAAGGATTAACATGGTTCTATCAAGCCTGGAAGCAAATTTCCAACACTTACTAAGGTTAAACCCCAGCTGCAAGACTACTCCTTCTTTACAACCATCAGCAAATTCCCCTTATAGGGGAAGCTATCCACAAAGAGCTTTCATTTTCCAGCTAAGATCTGAATCTCCCTATTTCCTCTTTTAGGAGGGTAGACAGACTAAAAAGATGCTTACAAGGAGGCCCATATTGCAGACTTCAGTAGCCCAGCGCTTCTGCTTTCCAGAAAAGCAGCCCAGTGTTTGAAGTAGCAGGAACACATGCAGATGAGTAACATGCAAGATATTTATTCAGTCGATTTGGCATTTAATTTGCTCATTTTTGGTCTGCTCTGGAACAGAATGTAATAGGCCTGGGAAGCAGATGTGACAGGTGGTATGTCATTACCCCTTGGAGCTTGTCTGGGTTAGCCTCTGTTTCTTAGGGGATCATTTAGCTGCTGTCTTGTCCCTCATATCACAGCCACAGCTCTCCCAGAGTGCCCCCAGTCTCTTCAGTTCCTCTTTACTGGGAAGTTTTTCCACATGCAATCAGTTTGGGTCCACTCAAGCCCCTTGTAGTCCTGCCACATCCCTTGGCACCATGGGCAGGGTCCTGCCAGGCACAGAAAGGTCCCAGGAGCCCTTTTGTGTGAACAGCAGACCATCCTCTCTGGGAAGCTCTCTCCAGTGCCTCTAAGGGGTCTCTTGGGCACCAGGTCCAACAGGCAGCCCCAAACTCACCGGTAACATGAACACAAAACACTCCTACAGGTTTAAACACAGATCCAGTGCTTGTACACGAAGAAGCTGCGGCTCCTGCAGCTGAGGGACAGATGCCCAACCTCCTACAACCAACCAGCCCCAGCATGAGCCACCAGGACAAGAGGACCCGTGCCCACGTGGGCCAGCCCTGGCACAGGGACATACATACACTGTGATCTCCATGCTGGTGCACTCGGGTCCTTTCCCCCGGGACGCCTGCAGGAGCCAGCGGAGCAGCACAGTGTCTTCTGGCACGTGGAAGTGGAAGAGCTTGGCGTTCCCATACCAGCTGTAGAAGGACAGCTTCTGTGCACTCTGGGAGAAGTACTCGGACACATACAGGGAGTCTGGAAGGGAGAGAGCACAGCAGTCGGTGGGGGAGCTGCTGAGGGCAGGCTCGAGGGCTTTATCCACCCACAGAAACACACAGGAAGCTTAATCTTGCTGGAGAGGAGCCCTCTGTGTCCCTGATTTCTCATCCCAGTCCCATTAGATACGTGGTGATCCATGATGTTCCTCCAGCCAGAACCACCCACACCCCTGCTATGAACCATCACCCAGAGAAGGAGAGACTGAAAGATGCCTAAAGTATGCTCTGAGAGATGTGCTCTGAAGATGAGAGACCACCAGAGACACCAAGGAGGAGGAAAGGTTGATGGCAGAAGGTAATGGAATAGGCAGCAGCAAACCCTGGGGCAGACAGTGCAGAGCTGATGGGTGCAGGTAGCACAGGGGGGCCCTGGGCCCCAGCAGCAGTTTATGGTGCCAAGAGACAAGAGCTGTGCCCTTGTCTGTCTGCTCAGTGCATGGGCTGATGTTTTACATGGGCAAAGAGAGACAGGACAAGGGGGATGCTTTTAAACCAAAAGAGGAAAAATTTAGATTAGATGTTGGGCAGAAATCCTTCCCTATGAGGGTGATGAGACAGTGGCACAGGTTGCCCGGAGAAGCTGTGGCCGCCCCATCCCTGGAAGTGTCCAAGGCCAGGTTGGATGGGGCTTGGAGCAACCTGGGCTGGTGGAAGGTGTCCCTGTCCATGGCAGAGGGACAGATGATTTTTAGGGTCCCTTCCAATCCAAACCATTTTGTGATTATCTGTTTTTCTCAGCTCAGGCACATGTAGCATCTTCCTGTGACACATAACACGATGAAGATTTCATGTGCTGCAAATGTAACTGCTTTCAGATGTACCTTCCAAACTCTGAAGATTTTCCTAGCTGGAAGAAAGGCTGCTGGGATAGCAAGAACAGCCCTAGACTATGCTGAAAGGGCATGCAAGAGGACAACAGCTACTCAGTCAAAGTGACATCAGGACTAACCATCCATCCTTCCATCCCTCTGCCCAGCTATACCTACAGATCACCCCCAGCCTGATGGTCATTTCACCTGCAAAGTTACACATTAATGAAGCCAAGCAGACTGCAACTCAGGGCTGGAAAAGAAGCATCACGCCAGAGCTGAGAAAGGGATAAAAGTGCACGGAGACAGCAGAGCCAAGACCATGCTGCCCCTCCAAAAAACAAGGTTCACTCAGCAAGGGGGCAGAAGATGTCTTCACATCCCTGCAGAGTGCTTCCAATTGCTCCTTTTCTCCTTTGGAATTTTCTGGGAGGAGAGAAACCGTGGCACCTTTCAGAGGCAGATTCATCATTTCTATTAGAAAATATGTAGCGAGTGTGGGCTAACTTGCCTTCCTCCACTGCTGCACAGGGTCGTGCTGGAAACACAGAGGACCCAAGAAAGATGCCAGAGAAAGAGGAAAACAGTCCTCAGGTGGGACCAGATCCTTGGGATGTACTTCCTGCCAAGAGGAATCTAATCCTCGCAGGAACTACGATTTGTGCCCCAAAGCAGGACACTCGCCGGCCTGCACCCACGGCACTGCAAAGAGACGGGAGCGCTAATCATGGGTTTAACTCCCTGGCAAATTGCCAAGCCAAAGCCTGCGGGCACCCTGCAAATCCAGCAGGGAAAGGAGGAAACGGGAGAGCAAGAAATACCAGCCACGCAAGCCAGCCGGAGGATTTGCTGGAGGAGGAAGAGCCTGACCTTGCCGCGGGGTCCAGCCGAGGGAGCAGAGTTTGCAGCACCTCAGTGCAGGGAGGCAGGAAAGGTCACGGGGAAGGTGAGCCCCGAGCAGGACAGCCAGGAGTCCACAGCCCATGGGCAGAGCTGTCCCCCCACTGCAGTCCCCACGCCGGGGTCACGCACAAAAGGGGCTTGTCAGGGAAATGCCCCCTGGCTGGAACTCCAGCGCAGTGCGTGGGGACTGCGGACAAGAGCTGGCTGTGATCCCCTGTGAGCCCAGGAACATTTCACACACAAGGGCTATGGAAAGGAGCTTTCAGCAATGGTTTCTATACCCCCAGCATACCCTGCATGCACTTGGCATGTTCCTTTCTGGCAGTCCACGGAGATCTTTGGGCACAGGATGAGGGCAGGCAGGGACATAAGGCATGATTAGAGCCGGGAGAGCCCCAGTCCTGCTCAATGCAACAGGTCCCATCAGGCAACCTACAACCTGCTGCTCCAACCCCACCAGCTGTCAGCCACAGTCACCACCCATCCTGCACGTCCTCGCAAACCTGTGTGGTTTTTTGGGGAGCAGAGGGCAGGCAGACTGCAAAATTAAAACCTCCAGCAATCGGCAGTGCTATTTATTAAGGACTGGTCAATTATACGGAGCGAGCTCCAGCGCATTAGCAGGTCAAAGGCAGGCAGACCTGCCCTGCCCACGCACTGCCTGTCACCAGGTAAGCAGCAGCTGGGGCTGTGGACAAAGTCCACTGAGAAAGAGCTTCTTGTGGTGACAAGAGCCAAGCCCCTGCTCACAGGGCTGTGCTGGGCACCCAGAGAGCAGGTATGTGACTCCCAGGGCACCTCTGCCTGGGCTGACAAGGAAATACCACAGGCAGATAAACGGAACATCAGCAGAGAAAAGCCAGAAAGACAGGTCACAGCAGAGGAGGTGTGTCCTCTGGCAGCCCATTTGCATCGATAGAGTACTCTGGTATTTGCTGTGTTCCCTATGTGTCCATCCCAATCTATTCAGTCTGCTTGGCAACACCTGGAAAGTCCCACTCGACTGTCCCATGACGTAAAACAAGCTTTAAACTGAGCAAGGGACCTGTCAAATTGATGCCATTTTCCTTCTCTCCCATGCAGATTTTGCATAAGCAGGTTTCAAATGTATTATGCAAAAAACAAAAGTGTTTCAAAGACAAAGAGAATGCAGTAGAATCCCTGATGATGCTGAGAGTAGATGCGTTATTTCAATTTCAGAGTGAACAGTCACCTTGTACAGCTTGAGTTTGTTTGTCCAAAGATGATCTCATGGTAGTTTTAGGAAATAATACCTTGACTAGTGGTTTCACAGGGCTTCCCACAAAGGGATGAAGCTCTCATTTCAAAGCAGACGCCGTCTAAAGCTACAGAGTCGATGTTCAGCCCGATTGGAGACAAGACCGGACTATGTGGCAGGATGTTTGGCCATTTACAATGTAACAGAAAACCCCGTTCCTTTCCCCGGGGTCGAAAATCCACCCAGAAATGTTGCAGAGGGAAGGCCCCCCTCGCTCCTCTGTGGAGGAGCTGATCTTCGGCATCGCCCAGACGTAACCCTCCGGAGGCATTCCCTACGGAGGCATTCCCTGTGGAGGCATTCCCTGCAGAGCCATTCCCACAGCCGGCGGGACGGCGCCGGGACAAACCCAGCACCACACCTGAGGCAGAGCGGAGCTCTCCAAGGGCTGGGAACCCAGCGAGCAGGATGCCAGAGCAGGGTGGGCCTGGGGCATGGGGCCATCTCGCCCCTGGCTCCCCGGGCAGAATCCACGCTCTGCGGACTCCGTGGAAGCGATAACCACCACAAACAGCGGATAACCACCGGGTAACGAGCCGACCTCCGCGACGGGGTGAGCAGGTGAACAATCTCACCTCCTCAGACCTCTCGACCGCCACAGCAGCTGGCTGACCCTCCGGAAAGAAGGGACACGGCCCCCCGCACCCCCCGCACCCCCAGCTCTGCCAAAAGCCCCGCTCCCGTCCATCCGTCTGGATGCGCTGGAAGTAAAGTAACCTAAAAACAAGGCAAAGCCAAGGAAAACAACCGCTGCCAACACAGCAGAACCCTCCGGGTCTGGCCCGACCTCCTGCTGCTCCGCAGGGCCGGCACAGGCGCTGCCCCCCCCGGGGGATGCTCAGGAGCCGCCGAATCCCTCGGGAGAGCACGAAACCACCCCAAAGTCACGGCTGAGCCACCCCGGCAAGAGCCGCGGGATGCGGGGCAGCTCCCGGGGCTCTCTCTAACACAACCCAACCGGTTTCCCACCGCCGCCTCTCCCCTCCCGGGACCCCGCCGGCCGCCCCCCCGGCGCCGCCGAGCCCCCCTCCTCGGCACCCCCCGCCGGGACTCACCGGGGCCGGTGCGGTTTCCGCGGCCGGCGGGCAGCGCCAGGAGCTGCAGCAGGAGCAGCAGCAGCCGCGGCAGGGGCGGCCCGGCTGCCCCGGCCATGGCCATGGCCGCCCGTCCGCCGCTGCCCCGGCCCCGCCGCCCGCCCGGCCCGCAGCGCCGCCGCCGCTGCCGCCGCCGCCGCTTCCGCCGCCCGCCCCGCCCCGCCCCGGACCGGCCCCGGACCGGCCCCCCCGCGGGACCGCCCCCCGAGCACAGCGAGCGAGGAGCCGCGGCTGCCCTGGCGAGTGCCACCCCCGGGGACCGGAGCATCCCCGTGCGAGAGAGCCCCGGGGGAAGGAGAGGTGCGGGAGGAAGGGGGGGGGTGCCGGTGGTGATGCTCCCCTGGGAGCCTCGTGGGTTTGCTTCTCGCCGCCGTGAAGGCCGAGTCAGACGGGGATTTAAGATCGGTTTAAGCTGAAATCACAAATATTAGCACGCCTCGGCCATAACCGGGCAGCGCACCGTGCCCTCGCTTGGAAGGGAAATCAGTGGGGAGGCTCAGCCCTGCAGAAGGGAAATGACTGGGAAGGCTCAGCCCTGAAGTCTGAAGGGTGGTTTTATACTCGTTCCTAGAAAGTCTGATTGCCTTCTCTGCTCCCACGTATCTGCCGTGTTCATAGGACTCACGGGAGATGTGGCTTTTAAGGGCATGGTCAACTCATTCTCTAATTTTGCAGCTGACTTCAAATGAGTCAGGAATCTTCCCTTTTACATGCCTTTTCCTTGAGATACCTTCTGATGCGTTAGTGTTTTCCAGCAGAACAATGCAGCCTGGGAAATATCTCAGTCCTTGCTCAGGCAAAAATCCCATCACTCGAGGTCAGCTTGGTTGAAGACTTCAGACCTGTTTCCAGTCAACCACAAGCTCCCTGAAGATGGACTTTCTACTTCAGGAGCTGAAAATCTTTGCTTCTTGCTCTCACAGACCTGATACACCTGTTATAAGTTCCTTAGGTACGGGAGGGAAATCCCATAGGGAAGTGCCAGTCCCTTCCTAGGAGGGCTGACATCACCAAAAGCCCAGCCAGAACACCTCATGTGCTCAGAGCTAGCAATGTCCTCATCTCATTTATGAGAATACTTCCTTGAAGTCAGCCCAGAAGCTTGAGGGACTATTCTTCTTATTCCCAGCTTAAATTTTCTCACTCCTAGTTAATTTCCTTTTGTCCCTGTGTGATACTATCCTTGGATTTTCAGAGCTCTCCTTCTAAGAGAAGAACAAATCAATCCTCTGTTCTCATTCTACATTAATTTAGCCTTCAACTCCACTTTTAAAGGTATCAGCTCATCTTCAGTCAATCCTTGTGAATTACTTTCCTGCAAGGCTCTTTCTACTTAGAGTTATTTTCCTCTTAAAGGAGAAAAACTGAGATTCAAAGTCAAAGATCTGAGCATTAATCAAGCTTATCTGACATAACACAGAGTCAGACCCACAGCATGTTACCAAAACCTATTTTTTTCACAGCTTGTGTCCCTCAGAGTGGCTCCTGTTCCCCAAGAAAAGCACTCCAGTGTTCACTGCAGCCATGGGGGGATGCTATAGGATATGTGTCACCTCCAGACTGACAGCTGCTCCAAACACATGGGGACAGGAAAATGTTGTCATTGGCTCAGTGACTGTCTGGATTGCTCTGCTAAGCAGCCTTGCAACTCCAGAAGGGGTAAGTTTGGACCAGGGAGAGTCTCCCTTTTGCTGCAGAGCTGGAGTTGGAGCTGAGCTGGAGAAGCTGAAGCTTCCTCCCCTTCCACAGGCAGTGCTGTAGGTGGATCACCATCACCTGCAGCCAGGCGGAAGATCCAGCTGCAGTGACATCTCCCTCCTCCTGTGGTGGCAACACAAAAACCACAGGATTTAGAAAAACCCATGCGAGGTTTTACCTGTGCTGAAACCTGAGGGACCATGGCCAGGGCTTCTGTCTGACTCAGTGGCACACTTCACTCTGGATACAGTGCCCGTGTGATGGTCAGGGCTCACCACTTCTGCTTCTTGCCCTGTGGTCCATCAAACCACAGCCCTTCATCGGGAAGTTGGAGGAGACAAAGACCCCGTTCTGGAGAGTGTGTTTCCTACAGTGTTTCAAAGAGGCCTGGGGAGAAGTCTGGACTATATACTGAAATTATCCCTCTCTGAGGCACCGACCTGGAAAAATAAATAATGGTGGCCTGTCCAAATTGAATTTATGGAGCTTTAACAACGCTGACCCATGAATTTTGATAAATATACTTCTACTATTAATAAAGGCACTCAGCTGCTCAGCCATTGAGGGAGGTATAAAAGCTTTCTGGATGAGCAGCTGCAATGCACATTTTGCTGTATTGCTTTCCATAAATCCATATCTGGGATCCTCCTGGCCATGTGCAGAGGTCTCTGGCACAGAGCTGGCACAGTCTGCTCCCCTGTCTCTGTTTGGTCCCAGTGCAGGGAGTGAAAATGTGGCGCTGGCTGAAAACCTTATGCTTTAACTGTCTCCAGATAGATCCTCACTGAGTTGTGCCTACCCAGCAGCTCATTTCTGACTTGAAGTCACCATGACAGGGGATCTGGGAAGAAAGAGTATGATGAGGAACTGTGCCCCAGGAATATGAACCGAAGATCTGTTGGAGTTGCATGCTTTGGCTTCTGACAGAAAAGTCAGATGATGCTCCATCACTGCAGGAGACTGGTGAAAGGATATATTTGATGTAGTCCATGGAGCTTTGCTATGTGCAGCTCTCAGTGTTACTCACAAATGGAAAAATAGAAGGTCAGTCCTTTCAGTGTGGATAAAGAAGGTCACACAGATAGGGAAATATGATCTAAAACAGAGGAGGCTAAACTTAAACTGGCTATTACAGCTCAGGAAAAGGATGCTGGAGTCCTCGCTGATGATTCACTACAATTTTAGCCTTGATGTGCAGCAAAAAAAAAAAAAAAAAAAAAAGAAAGCCAACAAAATGTGGTGAAGTCATCAGGAAGGGCTTGGGCTCACAGAACAAGAAAGAGGGCATCTCTAGCATGCTGTGTTACAGCTTGGTGCACCCCCATCTGTGCAGTTCTGTCCTCTGATCATAGAATCATTGAATAGTTTGGGCTGGAAGGGACCTCTAGAGGTCATCTAGTCCACCCCCTCTGCCATGGGCAGGGACACCTTCCACTAGACCAGGTTGCTCAGAGCCCCATCCAGCCCAGTATGGAATGTTTCCAGGGATGGGGCAGCCACAATTCTGAGTAACCTGTACCAGTGTTCTACCCTCATTGTAAAAACCTTCTTCCTTCAATCTAATCTGAATCAAACCTCTTTTATTTTAAAACCATCACCCCTTGCCCTACCACAACGGGTTGTAAGAGCAAAGTGGGCTTAGAGCCCTGAGCAGAGCAACTGAGATGATCCAGGGGATGGGGCAGCACAGTGTGAGAGGGTCCTGGGGAGGTTGGGATTTTTCCCTGGGGAAAGGGGAGCAAAAAGGGCCAGCTCTACACTGTCATAAAAGGAACGTGGACCTGGTGCACATCAGGTGCTTCATGACTAGACAGAGGCCATTGATCAGTCTGGCAGATTGGTTCAAAATGAATGAAAAGGACTTTATATGGGCCAGGTGGGAGAATGAACTTCTGGAACTCACTGCCACAGGAGGCTGTGGAAACAAATAGGATCAGCAGGTTTATAAAAGGTGTAGCAAATTCCTGAGCAGCTGCAGGTCAACTGACAGATGCTGAAGGCAACAGGCAGGAATGTTGGCTGGAATTGCTATCACTGCTGCTGTGAGAGCTTGAGAAGCACAACCAAAGCTGGCTAGGGGCCTGTGCCCTCCCCAGATGTTGTTTCCTCTTGCTGAAAACAACACAAAAACAACACTGGGAGAGAGGAACCACCGGTGTTACCACTGCCTGTGATCTCAGCTCCATCCCTAAGCAAATTCAGATCTTCCCAGGTGGTTGCTGTGTGGTAGGAAGATAGGGAAACCAGCAGGAAGAGAATTTTTGCATTTCTATTCAATTTCCATCTTTGTAGTGAAAATCTAATCAATGCTCATTTTCTGTCTTCTACCGCTCTTCCTTCTCCCACTGGCAAAACAGCTGGTGGAGGAGGTGGGAGGATCCTAAAAAGCTTGCATTGAAATATATTTCAATCATTCCTTATCTTCAGACTGCTTGCCCCCCAAAAAATCCCCTTCACCTCAAAAACTGATTGAAGCCGCCTCCAAACAGCCAGTGGAAAAAGGTAGAGGGGGAGAGGGTCATGGAAAATGAGACAGTGGGGTCTCTTACCAGGTAGAAACAGGAAGCCAAGGAACTATAAATCAGTCAACTTCAAGTCACAAAAAAACAGTGGGACACTTCATCAAAGGAAGAAATGAGTAATAACCATGGCCATCTCAAAGAATGAATCATTTCAGATGAGTGTGTTTTCCTTCTGGAAGTGTCAGACTCCAGTCCTTGGTTTAACATTATCATTCACCATTCTTTCATCAATAACTTGTAGTGGAGAATGTGCTTATTAAGTTCTCAGATGTTCCTGAGCTGGAGGGGCTGAAAGCAGCCCAAAGCACTGGCTTAAAATTCAAATTGATCCAGGCAAATCAGAGAGATCGGTTCAGCAGGGAAATTCTGACATTTAGGGAAGAGTGACTGCCCAAGCACACAGCAAACAAGCAGAAGATCTATTGGCTGCACCACTTGTGAGTTATTCTATTGCCATATTGAATTCCAATATGGGATGTATAAACAAGAACAGTTTGTAAAGCACGTGGTGTTTTCCCTCCTTGTTCCAGCAAGGGGACCTCTCAGTTGGTCTCCAAAGATCAGCTTCCAGTAAGGAATTAATTCCCTGTGTTCCCACTGCTTCTTTGCTAAATTTTGATCTAGCATTTTCTATAAATCATAGACAGTTACTGGTAAACTCCCCCTTGGATGCATGACCCCCTCCAAAAATATGTGCCCCTGTGTCCCTTTCCAGGACACTCTCTAGGGCCAGGACTGTTCATCCAGTGTTAACAAGAGCAGGATTCAACCCATGTGGACAATGCTGTTTGCAGCCCCTCAAGAAACTGCAGGAAGTGTTTTGATCAGGTGAGTCATAACCACCAAACTCATTTCCCGATGTCACTTTAGCTCCTTGTTTTAATAAAAATGAGCTTTCTGAGATGCCACTTTGCCTTGGTGACATCGTTGAACAAAACACTGTGCTGTTCTGGGGGTATTTTTGCACCACAGGTGCTTTGTCCGTCCAAAATAAATATTGATGAGAGCCAAGAAAGGCCTCCAGAGAGTGGAGGCATCAAAACAGGCTTTTCTCTCACCTGGAAATGTCCATCTCTCTTCTTGCCCTGAAGCTGCCTGGTGTGACTCTGCCTCCTGAGTGCTGCCATGGCCTGGATCAGGGGGCTTTGTCCCCAAAATCCACCTTATCAATGTCACCTGGGGGTGTTTTGGGCTGCTGCTGCTGTGGCAATGCAGAGGTTGCCTCCACATGTCCCATCAGCACTGGAGCTGCAGCAATGCCAGCTGCAAAACCACCCTGGGCCAGCTCTGGGGTGAATGTTGGACCTGCCCTGCTCCAGAGCACATCTGCTGTGGTGCCAGCAGGTCCTGAGGCAGCTGGGCAGGAACACCAGCTCAGGGAGAGCCCAGCTGCAGTCAGAGTGTCTGTCCCGTGGGGCAGGCTGTGTCCTGGGGCACACAACACCATGGCCACCAAGGGATGCCCAGGGCAGGGAGCCCCTGTGCCCTGGGCCAGGAGGGACACTCAGCACTGGACACGGGCTGCTGGGGAGGGTCCTGCACCCCTCCAAGCTGGCACCAGTGTCCCCAGAGCACTCAGGACCCTGGGCTGCCTGGAAGCCCGTCCCATCGGACCTGGTTCTCCCTGCTCCAACCCTGCAGGCAGGACCAAAGCTTGGCCCTCGCACCCTCTGCCTGGCCCCGATAAAGCACCACGGCTTGAGGTCCCCATCTGGTGGCAGCAGGGACAAATGGCTGGGACGACACGAGCTCAGCGGTTCTTTGGCCGAAAACAGAACCCTGGGAAAGTGCTGTAGAGCCGGGGAAATGCCCACTGCCACCCCACGTGTGCTGCACACCCCACGAGGGCACAGCACAG